GTATCAACGCAGAGTACTCATATGAATTATCCATTTACAAACAAGAGGGAAACACATCTGGTTTATTAGCCAAATATGTATTTAATCTTATTTGTAATGTTTTATTCATCTTCATATCTTATTTATAATTCGAATTTTCTGTTTTTTGCAGTTTGTTGGATCTTTTTTATTTTGTTGTTGGTCTCTTATAACCAAAACTAGTTAAATCATATTCTGTCTTCTTAATCTTTGTTCCCTTCTGTGTTTCTGCATTTAAAGAACATTTAGCAGTAGAAATTGATTTAGCTTCCAACTTAGTCAAATATGCTCCAGTACCAATTGCTTTTCCATTCTTAGCCTTTACATATCCATCTTTTGCTGCCAACCAATCAACCATTAAGTTTAACATACCTGATGCATCAACTTTCTGATTTTCATCAATAGTATATTCAAAATTAAAGTCATTTACATAATTAGCATTGTTATTAAAGATCCATACATGCATAGAGTATTTCATATCATAGAATGGAACCTTTTCAATACCGTTCTTTCTCACTTCTTCTTTATATGCATCTGTACAATAATTTTCAATGTAATTATCTACTGAAATAACTTTGGTTGAATTATCTCTGATTTCTGCAATAGCGTCAGTTACCACATTTCCGTTGCCATCAATAACAATGCCAGTTACACCGTCAATGGTTTGGATAATATCATCAGCAGTAGGCATACCGCCATTCTGATTAAGAATAGGCAATGCTAAACCAATCTTAATACCAACACCTACAGGTTCAGGCAATTTATCTTCAGAAGCATCTTGAGCAATAATCTGAATTGGATTCTTAGGATTATACTTGCCACCTTCATTATAGAAGGAATCAACTCTATCCTTATCAATTTCAGTTACTGGGTGAGCTATCTTGATTTCAATTTCCTTAGCTCCCTTTGCATAAACCATTACTGTATCACAAGTTTGGTTATTTGCCTTGTCTTGATAGCAGCGAACGATTGGGTTAATCTTTTCTGCCTTCAAACCTTGAAGTGTTAAGGTATCTTGTTCAATATCATCTACAGTCCAGAATACAATAATTGAACTTGATGCAACATATTCTGTCCAGTTCTTGTTATCACCTGGGTAAAGAGTATCTTTACCGGCGATAAGCTTATAGATTTCTACCTTAGGTGGAATATCATCAAGAACTACTTGAATTTCAGATGTACCAGTATTTCCATAAGCATTAGTATATGAGTAACTAATAGTATAACCTACATTTCCGTTTGTCTTCTGGATCTTACCTTCAGAATTAACCTGATATGAAACAGTGATAGTGTCCTTTCCTTGTGGAACTGAATAGCTAATGGAGTAGTTTGATTTTACTTCAACATAGGAATCAGTTGTATAGGAAATAGTAACATCTTGTCCATTTACCTTTTCAACCCAAGATACGGTAAATTCATCATTGATTCTTTCTTCTTTTTCATTAACAATATAGCTTATTGTTGCTTTAACAATAGGATCATAATAAGAGATACGAACTGAATCTTTACCAACGGTTTCATACTTATAGTTTTCCATTCCCATTGGCACAATATCACCAATAATAGGTGGTTGAATAGTCTTATTAGTCAAAGATTTAACTGGAACATCAATAGTCTTCAAATCTACATTGATGTTGAATGTTGTGTCCTTCTTAGCATTAGTAGGATCCTTAACTGTTACCTTGATTTCAGGATTTTTGTTATTGACATATTGATTTCCATCAGGTTCATCAATGATAGTAATGTTATTTACATTTGACTTATTCTTATCAATGGTAGCGACTGTAATAATTGGTGTTTTGTTTGAATACCAAACAATTACAGTATCACAAGCCTTGGTATCTTTACCTTCACCTATGTCACAGATTTCAATCTTATTCTCACCTTCCTTTAGACCAGTAATAGTTGTGTCTTTATGTTTATTATCAGTCTTGTATGTGATTTCAATATCTTTATCATTTGTATAGATTGGTTTATCTGTTTCAGTATAAACAGAATCACGAGTATCTACGTGAATGATTTGAACATTTGAAGATTCAGGTTCATCTTTAACATTGATATGAATTACAACAGAATCAACATTTAGACCATCAGTTACATAGACTATTAAGCTATCATTCTTTTGTTTTTCATAATCGAATGGTACTTTTATGCTAATAACACCATTAGTGTCAATAGAATACTTTGTAGTATCAGATACGCTATAAGTAGGTGTAGTTCTGTCTTCATCATAAGCATCAACCTTACCGATTGGACCTGTAGTATTTTCAGGTACTACAAATGTTGTATCTTTAACATGTACAGGTTCATTAACATTGTTAACTTTAATTACTACAGAGATAGTATCTTTATCATCTTTAGTAGATGCAATTACTTTGACTGTAATAATAGAATCTTGTTCATAATCAACATCACGATTTAGATAGATAATACTATCTTTAATTGTAATGTCAGAACCAATTGGAGTATAAGTTATCTTTTCGCCATCTTCATCATAACCATGGATGGTATCAAGAATAGTACCTTTTGGAGAATTTTCATCGATACTTGTTTTTACGCTATCAATATGTAATGGTTCATTAACATTATTGATGTTAATAATGACTTTAGCAGAATCTTTTAATTTGCCGTCAGAAACCCATACGGTAATAGTATCGGATTTCTTTGTTTCATAATCAAATGGGTTCTTAAGAATTATTTTGCCATCAGATATACTATAGCTAACAGTATCAGAAATAATATAATTGATAATATCATTGTCTTCGTCCCATGCTGTTACTTTACCTAGTGTACCTTTAAGATTTTCATTGATTGCAAATGTTGTATCTTTTACATGTACTGGTTCGTTTATATTGTTTATTTTAACATTATATTTTAATGTGTCGGATTTATCACCATCGGAAACTATGACTGTAACAGACGTTGTTTTTTGTTTTTCATAGTCTAATGGAGTTGTAATAGATAGTACTCCTTCATTTGTTATTGACCAACCTTTATCAATAACCTTATAAGTTAGTTTATCATTATCAGGATCTTTTGCAGTAATTGTATCTACAATTCCTGTATAATTTTCATCAACCGCAATCTGTGCACTATCTAATTTTGGTTTTTCATTCACATTTGTTATCTTAATTGTAATTGTTGCTGAATCTCTCAACTTAGAATCATTTACATCAGTAACATATGCCTTAATTGTATATACAGTATCTCCTGATTCATAATCAAATGATTTCTTAGGATATACTTTATCACCAACTACAATAAAGTTTGTAGTATCGGTTAATGTTATCTTATTATTTGTAAATGCTTTACTTGTATCAATATCAGAAGTTTTAATTGTACCTACTGAAATAATTGTTCCATTATTTTCAAGTATACTAAAATTCTGATTTTCAATGATTGGATTTTCATTAACATCCAAAACATTAATTACATAATCAACAGTATCTACTTTAGAAGTATCTTTTGCAATTATCTTAATTGTATCTTTATTTGTTACTTCATAATCATAAGCAGTATTTAATGTAATAATACCAGTAATAGAATCAATAGTATATTTTGGATTTGTTGTTTCAAATCTTACAAATTCATTTCCACCTAATACTTTTACTTGACCTAATACAGTATCTTTCTTATTTTCAGGTACATCTTTTGCTAATCCATCAGTACTTATCTTAAATAAATCACCATCAGATAATGTCAAAGTAAATACATGAGTTTTCTTATTACCAGGAAGAGCAGCACCACTTACATTATAAATCTTTAAGCCTAATACTTCAGTTCCTTCTGTTTTACCATCATCCTTAACATTGATTTTTACAGGAATTGTTGGAACAGAATTACCCTCATTGATGATTACAACACCACTATCTTTTCCACATTCTTTAATTGGATAATTTTCTATATTAAAATCATCAATGGTTGCATTTTCATTTAAGATAAAGCAATAATTAAATAATACTTTACCTGGAGCTAATGTATCTAAGAAGATAGGTACTTCTACATCTTTATCATTTTCAACAAAGTTACCTAATGCATTTGTCTTTGGATCTCCTAAGTTAATAATAGGTGGATCAAATGGTACATATAAGAAATTCTTACCATCAACATTATCACCAATTATTAATTCATTTCCTAATAACTGACCTGCAAATGTAACATTACTTACCATTCTAAATGTCTTTGCTGAAATATATGTACCTTGACGAATACAATAGTCAGTATTACTAAATGTCAAATCTTCTGATGTATAAAACATAAGATTTCCACCATAGTCATCATTTGAAACTATAGTAGATCCATTCATAGTTTGAATTACAGCGTGGTTACTTAATGAAATTTTACCATTTACAAAGATTCTTGTTAATCTTCCTTCATCTGGCATTCTAATATACAATTTAGATTCTTGGTCCATTGTAATACCTGACAAATAAATGTCATAAGAACCTTCACCAGCAGGTATATCAATATAACCAGTTCCATGCATTGGAACATTTATAGCATGTAATTCAGAATCAGGCCAAACTACAGATGGAATAGATAATCCTACTGCTTTTGGAAGAGTAGAACAATCATTGGTTAATTCACCACCACCTTTAATCAAACCTTGTTTAAATTGTTGAGAAACATTTGTGTCAGCTAAACATACTGTACCACCAAAATAACCATTATTTAAGTTACCCATAGTAAAACTATTGGCAACAGTTGGTCCAGATGGGAATGTATATCCATTACCAACATTTATATCTCCAGTAACAATAATAGGTCCGCCTAATAATGTTTCTGAACCAGTACCTTTTAGATTTCCATTAGTACCATTACGTCCAGATTCATCAGGAACAATAACACCATTACCTACTGAGAAATATTCAGTTCCCCATAATTTATATTTCATCAATTCATCCCAAGTAGTTTGTTGACTACTTTCTGGGATTCCGTCAAAATAAAACGGTTTAACATCTGCAGTATATGCAAATGATAAAATAAACAGAATTAAGAATAATAATTTTTTCATTTTATATACCTCACTTATAATTATTTATCATAATTGTTGGATCTTTATAAAATAAAAAGGGTACTACTCAATTACTGAATAGACCCTTTTTAGTTGAATAAAGAAAATATCCTACTTGTTTAAGAACAAATAATTGCCAATTACAAGTGCCGCACCGACACGACCACTCTGCTTCCATGCATCCCAACAATCATTAGCCAAATTACATGTTGGTGTATTATGAATATTAAAAGAAGTATTAATCAACATCTTATTACCTGTCTTCAATTCATAAGAGTCTAGAATATTCCATGCATCATCTGTATATGAGTTATGTTCATAAATGAACTGTGCTCTTGCTGTATTATCTACATGAACACCACCTCTATACTTTTCTGCCACACCTGGCTTACAATTCATAGTCATCGCCATAAATCTGCATGATGCTTCACCTGGTTTCCAATTTTCAAACAATTCATCTGCATTAGTATTCTTACATACTGGACAATATGGCATATATTCTGAACGACCCATAGCCTGATTTAATGTATGTGTACCATTTGGATCTTCTGCTGTATACAAAGTACTATGATTCATCAATGCTCGAGGACCAAATTCTTCAGCATTCTGACACCAATGTACAATCTTATTATCTGCCAACAAATCAGTGACTACATCAATCAAATCATTCTTATCCTTGAAATACTTTACTTCAAGTTCTGGAATAGTCATTGCTTCATCAATAATCATATCTAAATTATTACCTGGGAATTGAGAACCTGGATATTCAATTGGTGTACCACCTTCAATTATAATGTTTGGTCCATAACCCCATTCATCCCATTCAGGAATGGATTTATCACTAATTTCAGTGAATAACTTATATGCACAACCTAATGCTGTACCTTCATCACCCATTGGAGGAGATACAAAAATCTTACTAAATAATCCACTATCCTTAATTCGCTGATTTAACTTAACATTTGCTACCAAGCCACCAGCCATATACAAATCTGTATTAGTTGGCTTATTCTTAAAGACACCCTTAATCCAGTTCAAAATTACCTGTTCTGCAAAATACTGAACACCATAAGCCAATTCCCAAGGTGTATACTTCATAGACTCAGGCAACTTCTTCTTACCCTGTAGATAATCAAGAATGTCATCCTTATTATAATCCTTACCAAGTCTTTCAGTAACAAAGTTATAAACAGTATTCTTCAACTTCAAGAATCTTTCAAAATCTACAATAGTAGAAGTCTTTACCATTTCTTCTTGTTCAGGAGTTAATGGCATCAAACGAGAATCATCTACCCAAAATCCTGTTGAAGAATAATCATATGCCTTACCATTCAAAAATTCAGTCTTATAGAATGGAGAATACTTACGTAAATTCTTCTTACCAGTCAATAAGAACAACAAATCATGATATACTTCCAAAGCACGATCTGGATTAGCTTCACAATGTGCTGCCAAACCTGTTACCTTACCTTCATGCTGATGTTCCTTAAACTGTAATGCACCAGTAAAGAACTGATATACTAGAGCAGGAGAATCAATTACACGAACTGCAGAAATTACAGTTTCATTATTAAAATCATAATGAGTAATCTTACCAGAATAACCATCACCAAATCCATCAGCAGTCAAAGAATAAAAAGTATGACGTGATGTTTTTTCAATATCATCATCATGATATACAGGGAAACATGAATAAGCATGTGCTGTATGATGTTCAATACGAACAAGATCATCAGCTTCTACAATGCCACCACAATTTTCATTTACAAATTCCTTAATAAGTTTTAAGAATGCCCATTCAGAATCTGTACCAAGTTTTCTACCCTTTTCAATATATTCTTCTAATGTAGTCTTATATGCTTCAGGAACATTCTTAAGAAGATATGCATCAGACAAACCTTCATAATGAGAATATGCAATATCAGTTACAACTACATTATAACCAAGTTTCTTAGAAGCAACATCAATACAAGCAACAATTGCATCTAAAGGAAGTTGCTTTGTATTCTTCTGTCTATTCAAACGTTCCTGAGAAACACAACAAAGAACACCATTGTTTTCAGAAATAATAGAAGCAGAACTATTAAATCCAAGAGAAATACCTAAAATAACTTTTTCTTTCATTTATTCAACCTCATATATAATTTTATTTTCTTTATATAAATCTAATAAAATTTCATTATAATTGCAACTATCTTTATCAGTTTTATCCAAACATTTTAACTTTTCTTCAAATAATCTGGACAAATATAATCTTGACATATGATGAGACAAAAAATCAAATATATAATTCTTTGGTTTTTCATTAAAGTTCCAATTTAAATTCTTATCATATATGTGTAAAGATGTTGCAAAATGTGTATATGTACCACATTCTATTTCTAATTTATGTGCAATATATTTTTGTAAACTTGTAAAGAATGCAACATCATAAGGCATACATCCACAAAAATCATTAGATCTCATCATAGCAGTACAATATAGCTTATTATCATTAATATAAAAAGCTAAATTAAATGTACAAATTTCATCAAAACAAGTTTGACGATGAGGATTAGGTACATTCAAATTAATTACTGCTCTACGAGAATCTGGATCTTTTTTAAGAATGTCGATTACTTGATTTAATTGATTAAAACCATGACGTTTAAAAATAATATGACCGTATGCTGAATTTGAATATATACCATCTTCTGAAGTTCTCTTAAATCCAGGTGCATTAAATTGATTTATAAAACCTAATTTTTCATCACCATTTGAATACCATAATTCTTCAGCACACAAATAACCTAAATCTATATTTGAATAACCTACTATATTATTTTCAACGTTTGTCAATACAAACATTGCATTATTTAATTCAGTAGTTCCATGCTTTTTATGACCTTCAGATATAATTTTTTTATACATCTGTTCAAATATAGCATTCATACTATCAGCAATAAGCATCATCACAATTTTCCTTAATCAAATCACAAACTTCATTAAATACTTCTTGTTCAGTTTTATTAGAAGTATCAATAACAAATATACTGGTAGGATATTTATCAAGATTATTTCTCATTGCCATATCATAACAATAGCGTTTACGAGCAATTTCATCTTTCTTTTCTTCATCTGTACCACGTTTATTTACGCGGGACATTATTGTATCTACGTCAGCAGTCAAAATGAAAAATAGCCATGGATTGTCATTATCACAATATAGTCGACAAAGCAAATTAAATACATCTTCCGTAATTTGGGTATCACGGTCATATACACGACTATATACATACTCACTGATAAAACTACGGTCACTAACAATATGATTCAAATCTTTTTTCTGAAGATATGAATCAATGTCTTTCCATCCTTCTTTAGTCATAGTGACCTTATCAAGTTTAAAACGCTTAACAAGCTTATCTACCAAAGTAGTTTTACCACATCCATCACAACCATCAATAGCTATTCTCATTTTAACTCCGCTAGCGCTTTTTATTACTTACGATGTGCTTTGCAACAAGGTACTGCCTTGCACTTGCAAGATACCTGAATCTTAGAATCAAGAATCTTTGTTACTCTCTTATCTGAAAAATCTTCAGGTGCCTTAAGTGCAGCCTTACCATCCTTCTTCACATCGAAACGTGCTCTATCCAACTTAAACAAATCAAATTCTTCTGCTTCCTTGGTGGAAATCAAACCATTTTCCAACATAGTAGTTACCGCATTGTAATAAGCCAATAGCTTACCTACCTTACGAGAGAACTGATCCTTATAAGAACAATGTGCAATACCCTTTACGATAATCTTACTATCATAGACATTTTCTGTCCATTCATGAATAGCAACTTCAGTTGTTACTTCATCCCATGTAGTAGTTACCATACGACCATATTCGTCCTTAGTAGTAGTCATATTGTACTTAGTGTTATACTGAATCTTTACAATGAAAGACTTTCCATTAGATAGTGTAATCTGCATATTTTTTACCTCTTTAGTTATTTAGTTTTCTTCATATTGATATGTTTCATATAGATAATCTCTCCAGTTACCTATTTCACGCAAGGCACAGTCTAGACTCTCTTGATATGATTTATTTGGACGTCTACCACCTTCTACGCTGGCAGTAACACCCGACTGATAGTAATCGATTTTTAAATAAATCAATTCTAAATGTTTAATGTCTGCTTCCTTATATTTCTTAGCTTTTTTAAGTGCCTTAATATCATTCATCAGACAATCTACTTTATACTGAAAATCATCATACATCATTTTTCAAATCAAATCTCCTATTTTTTTATTAGACAGTTATAAATATAAAAACGTGATGGGTTTTGTAAACCCTTTTGTGAATTTTTTTGTAACAAAGATTCTAACTTTTTAAAGAGGTAAACTAATGTATATAAAAATTGATAATGAATTTAAAAAATTTGATAAAATCATAAAGAAAAAAGGAATCTGTCTGGATATTTTCTGTGATAACTGCCAAATAAAATGCACATTAGACCATGTATTCAAAATGGCTAATGGTACTGATAAAAAAGCAGCAGACCTTGTTGAAGGCGATAAATTAAAAAATACTCAATTTGGCGAATCCACATTTATATTTGCTGATTATATAGGCGAACAAGAAGTATATACACCATTAAATGTTGTTGGTGAATTCTATAATACAACAAATGGTCTAATCAATCATAATTGCTCATTCTTAGGTTCTTCTAGAACACTTATATGTGCTGAAGCTCTAGAAAAATTAACACAACATGAACCTATTCGTTATGACAAAAACTATAAATTAAAAATCTTTGAAGAGCCTGTCAAAGGTGTTTTATATGTAATGGGTGTAGATAGTTCTACTGGTGTTACTGGTGACTATTCTTGTATTCAAGTTATGAGAGTTAATTCTAGACAATCTATGAAACAAGTAGCTGTTTATAGAGATAATGAAATTTCACCTGAAAATTTGGCAGTTATAGTAAAACAATTGTCTGATTATTATAATGAAGCATATTATATTATTGAAAACCAAGATACAGGTCATAAAGTATGTGAAGAATTATACTATGAATTAGAAAATTATAAATTGATTTCTACAGATGGACCAGGAAAACCATTAGGTACTAGAGCAACTAAACGTTCTAAACTTGATGCTTGTATGGAATTAAAGAGATTGATTGATAATAATTTCTTAGAAGTTATAGATGATACTACCATTGAAGAATTATCAAGATTTGAAGAACAAGATGTGACAAATGTATTTAAAGGTGCAAAAGGTACACATGATGATACTGTATCTGGTTTATATTGGGCTTGTTATTGTACTATGCAACCTGAAATAGATTTGGATGACTGCAAAGCAACAACTACAGAACCAGTTACTGATTATCCTGCTGATTATATGATGTTACATCCAGAAGGAACAGGTTCAGCTGATTTTTGGAGTGATTTCTAATGAGTACACCAGCATTAACTAAAGATTATATGGGCCCAACAATGTCTGTAGCCTCACCATCAGAAAATACATGGCACGCTGATATGGCTGATGCAATGACAAAAACTATGAATAATTTTTTTGGAGCATTAAAGTTTATATGGTCTGGAACAGTAACTGCTGGTGTATATGTATCACCATTAGCAGGTAATGGTGGTTTTGTATGTGAGAAAATTGTAGTTACAGAAGCAGAAGTTATATCAGCGACAGCTAATGATACTCCAGTAGTTGGTTTATTTACTTTATTATCTAAAAAATTATCTCAACCTTTTAATATAATGTTAGGTAATGGTGTTGGTAGTGCATGTGCTGTTATGGTATTTAATCCTCAACCTATATTATTTGCAGGTACTCAAGCTTTAATAGCGGCTGGAAGTATAGCACGTGCTGAAATGGCTACACCAATACAAGAATATCAAGATGAAAAAGAGAAATTTTATAATGTTATTGATAGAAATTTAGCATCAGCTTTAAATCAAACACAGACAGTTATAGCATGTCAAGGACCTGCCGTTGGTGGATATTTTACTGGAACATGTACAGTAATTCCAAATGTGAAAGCATAATAGGAGATTATAATGAATTATTGGTTTATAGAAAAATCTGAATTACCATCTAGAGGATTATATTATGATCCTGATTTTGAAATTAAAATTAGACCAATGAATGTTGAAGAAGTAAAATATTTAGCAACATTTAATAAAGATAATGCAACAATTATAGTTAATGAAATACTTAAAAAATGTTTAAAATTAACTAAACTTAAATTCAATGATATTATAATTGGTGATAGAGAATATTTAATTTTCTGGATAAGAACTAATTCATTCATTACTAATTCTGGATATAAAATAGAAATACCTAAATGTCCTATTTGTAAAAATTCATATGAACATGAAATAAAATTAGGAACATTTAAAACCGATTATTTATATAAACAAGTTAATTCTATTAAACTACCAAATTTGGAAATTGAATTACCAATAAAACAGCCAACTATAAAAGATTTAAGTGAAATGATTAATGATGGTGATGAAATTTCTGAATATGCAATGTTTATTGATAGTGTTAATACAGTAAAAGATAAAATTAGATTTATTGAAAATTTATCAGGTGATGATTTTTCTGAATTAAAATATAATCTTGATGGATTTAAATGTGGTATGCATAAAGAAATAATGACAGAATGTCCAATATGTCATAATTTCCAACCAGTAAAAATTTTACTTAATGAATCTAGTTTATTTCCTAATACCAAACTTAAAGATATATTAGAACATATAACTCGTGTTGCTAAATATACTAATTTAACTATTACTAATGATTGGCCATGGGTTGAAGTAGAAATTGAACTTGAAATAGTTAATAACATGATTAAAGAAGAAAACGAAAGAAATCAAAAAGAAATGGCAAAAGCAAAATCAAAAGCTCATATACCATCTACTCCGCATATACCAAATATGCCACGTCATTATTAATTCCAAAGAATATTTGGAACAAACAAGTGTATACAATATACACTTGTTTGTTATTTTATTATATTTGTATACAGAGAGGTTAATTATGGCAAAAACTAAAGAAAAGAAAGAAGGATATATCGACAACGATTATCTACGAAATTTAATTGTAAAATTTAATGAAATGAACTATGAAGATACTGGTGCTTGGTGTGAACCATATTTATCTAAATTAGAAAAGAAATATAATACAGGCAAAACTGATAAAGATGAATATGATGCTAAAAAAGCATTTATCCTAAAGAAAATAGACAAGATCAATACTTTACGTGAAAACTATTATTCTAAATGGTCATCTGATGAACGTAGAAAATTTGATACTGAATTTGAATCGTTAAAGAAAGAACTATGTGAAGCTTTTATTAAGGTTATTGATGGACGTATTATTTCATTTAAATTGATTGCATCAAAGAGTCAAGATGATATAGATGATATTAGACAAGATGCATTGTTTACTTTATTCACTTATATTAATAGATATGATGCTGAAAGAAATAGTTCTGCATTTGCATTCGTTACACAGTTAATTACTAATGCTATTCTATTGGATCTTAATCAAATGAAAGAAAGAGCTGAAAGAGAAATTGCTGGATTAGATTTTTATAATAATATGAATACAATCGATGATCCACATGGTAATGATGGTCTTAAGGACTACATGGAATAGCTCCAGACATCATCCAGGACGTTAATAAAAAAGGACTGAGTATTTACTCGGTCCTTCTTTTTATGCTCTCCAGAGTAGCCAGAAATAGCCTATTTAAAGTTATTAAGTAAACCTATTTCTTGGTTAATCTTTTGAATGGTATCATCCATTAAATTTGAAATAGCAATCTTGGATTTAAATTGTTCAGAAAGTTTTCCCAATTCATCCACAAAGAATTTAAGCTTACGAATGCAATTCTCTATATTAAATACCTCATCATTGATTAAATAATTCTTTGAATTAATCTTGAATTTATTATCACATAATGCGATTTCTACTAGAGTATCTGCAAAATCTCTTAAAGTTTCATAGATTGCTTGCAAATGTGTGTGATGAAATCCTGACTCACAAGACCAATGATATATATGAATCTTGTTTGCAAATGTTAATGTATCTACAGCAAAGGTAAACAAATCAGTATATGCTGATTCCTTAGTACCTGCTAAATACGTAATAAAATCCTGTGGCATTTGTTCTTCCATTTATCTACCTCTTAATGTGTTCTCAAAAAGTCTTTTAATCCTGGTTTCTTTTTCTGTACGACATTCTTCTCTTTCTTCTTATTTATCTCTTCCTGTCGCTTCTCATACTTATCATATACTTCTGGATTTTCTGGATTTGTCTCCTTTCCACCCAATACCTTCAATACTCTCTTCATCTGTTTCTGATCAATAGTATATACTCCACCCTTCTTTTCCAATTTAATAGCTCGAGTATCATGTAATCTCTGTTGATCTCTATCAGTCATTTCATCTCTTGGTTTATCCATACTTGCAAATAATAACCAAGCTTCATCAAATAACTCTGCAAATGTTATATCTTTAATAAAATTAGGTATCTTTTCTAATATATTATTATGAATTCTATGGAATAAGCCTTGTCCAACAACTCTATCTCTATTAAGATTCTGAGTCATTGCTACATCTCTATTTGATATAACCCATATAAATGAAGTCTTATATCCAGCTTTCTTTGCAACTACGGCTTTTTGTATTAATGTTTCTGTCATTCTTCCAGTTATATCAAAGATTATATTTGGCTTATGTCCATTAGCATTAGCTTTAAAGAATTGATCTTCAGTCTTATCACCTAAATCTAATTTATTAGACATGGTATGTAATTTGGTTACATCGTCAGGATTCTTAAAATTATATTCATGTGTATCTACATGTTTATATTTTATAGGATTACCTTCTTCATC